TAGAAAACTTCTTATTTCAAAATTTGTCGAGGGATAAAAAAGTTATAGTAAAATATTACAGGTGCAGACGTGTCTTCAATCTTCAACACCCTGTATTTGACAAGTATTCAACACACTGTATTTGACACAAGGAAAATGTCATTTTACTTAAAAACACGACTTGATTTATGATATGTACAATGTACACCCAAATAATCCGTTTTTGAAAAAATATAAAAGCAAATACCTTTAGGGATTATTCATATATAAACAACCAAACTTTATATGGAATTATGAAAAATCATCTATTAACTTTCATAATTTTTGTGACGTATGCACATTCTGTGTTTATGAATAAAAATCAGTCCTTTTCAAACGCTTTTAGTGAAAAATAATCCAAATAACAATAAAAATACTTAATTAGTTCCCAAAATAAACACAATGGTATTTTCTTTTGTTTCTGAAACGAAATGAAATTTAAATTTTTAATGGTCAGAAAGCAAAAACAAAAAGAAAATTGATAATTTTAGTAATCCGTGTTACCGTCTCTAGCCCTTACGCAAGCTTCTGTCCATACTGACATGCTACTTATTAAATTATCAACATCGTCTTTTGGGGTATGTTTTCCCATTCTGCTAATGCTGCATCAATAAGCTGTGCGAGATTTCCTGGATTGTTTCGACGAGCTCTAACCCTTCTTTTAAGCTGGTCCCACAAGCGTTCGATAGAGTTTAGATCTAGTGGTCATGCAGGCTAGTCCTGAACTATTGACACCTTCCTTTTAAGATATTCTCTAGCCACTCTGCTGGTATGGGGAAATAGATTATCGTGAATGAAGTTAGAATTGTGCCAAATTGCAGATCTCCAAGCCTAACGGTGTTAATGTAATAACCCTTCTTTTTTTGGGGGGTAAGTTTAAATGAACAAAAGTTGCATATTGTGTTTCTATAATCAATCGAAAATTTTGGCTAATCGCCTGTTCCACTATAACCTATTCTCTAGGTTACATTCTCCAGTACTGTAAGTTTTAAAAAAGATCAAGATTGGAGAATAAAAATTCAAAAGATATAATAACTTGGTGACTGAACCCTCCATATGGTTCTTTGTCAATTGCTTATAATGGCCTAATTCAAAGAAACGTATATTTGTCAGGCTGTCGCAATAAAATGTATACTGATGTTACTTACTTCTTCTAATTGACAATATATGCACGTAGCTTCGTCTGTCAACGCCATCAATTTTAGATGCTTATATAGTTTATAATGCCCAGATCTACTTCAGTTTGGACAGTCTTCCTTCTTTGCTTATCAAGTCTACCTGTCTCTTCGAGGTGTTTTTTTTTTCTTCTAGAGATTTGTTGACTAGCCACTCGTTTTGTGGCCATTCATGTAGCTACTTTTTCAGCACCACAAAAAGATTCTGGACCTACGAATGTTATTGATGAACCTAGTTTTACCATTTTTTCTGGCATTACGTTGTCCTTGTGTCCCCCGTGTCCTGGTACCGTACTATCGATACGCTCATTCAATGTATTTAGTACACACACCATACCACACTAGTCTATCTGTGTAGATCTGTGAACAATGTGTTCTTTCCTGTATTATTATTTTTTCTACACAATAATTTATTGCCATCTGGAAAATTCTGAGCTCCTTGTTTTAGCTCTACTATTCCGGTTGCTAAGTTTTATAAAAAAGATATATGGTTCTCCTTCATTTAGGTTCATATTGAACTGAATAATACAACTTTACGACAAATAATATACATTTTTAGAGTTGCGATATTTATGTTATTTAAAATGTTTTAATTTTGAAATATTTATACGATATAATTAATGTCTTGAGACAGCTCCATTGAATGCTACACCGTTTCTGTTCCGTCTGTGACGGCCTTGAAGACTTAACAAGAATTTATGTTCGAGGAAGCCGGAGTCTGTATATAATTAGAGATATTTTTGCGTCATAATTATTAAATATGAACAGCCGAACGGCGAGACCTCGAAATGTAAACTAAGGAACGGTTTAAATTTTTATGTACCTACGAATTTTATTATTTTTTTCGAATTCGAATTTTCGAATCAGTATGTAGAAATTAAAATAAATATATGAGGTTATTTTGAATATTTTATATAAATATTATTCCTATTTTATAAATAGAAATAAACCTAACCAAAAATATACAGGGTGAGTCTTAAAGAAGTGCAAATATTTTCAGGGCTGGTAGATCTCGATAAAAGAAACATATTTTCTCTTTACTATTTTTCAGATAAGTTTAAAATATCCGAGTTATCTAAGTTTGAAAATTAAAAAAAATTATTTTTTTTTGAAAAAAATTTGAGAGCCATCGGATTTTTTCTGTATTTTCATCCCTTTTATTGCCGTAACCATAGAATAAAGCCTTAACTATGGTAATATCAGAGATTAAGAAATTATACCGTGGGAAAATTTGCAGTGAACAGGCAGTTCTAAAAAGTTTTCGAAAAATATACAGGGAAATTTAAAAGAAAATGCTCAATTTTCATCTTTTTTTAGCGAAAAAAAAACTCATATAGAAATTTTAAAACATTTTCCGATGCACGTCATCAACTTTGAGTGACAAGCGATGGCGACAGCGCTGCCAGATTGTGATGAATTTAACAGAAAAAAAACTATGAAGAACGGCAAAAAACGAGAATTACTCCCAAAAATTCAACAACACGATATTATACAAAATAATGACTGACAGGATAATTGTCAAATAATATACGACAACATTGCTGAACATGGCGCAATGTGACCCAACAAGGCGATAATAAAAATCGGTTTAAACTAATTTTTGCAGCTTTATTCTAAATAAAATATCTGTTACAATCATTTGCTCTATAAAGTATAATGAAGAGCTGCTTGGTATATTAAATTATACAACAAATTTAAACATTTTTGCTAAAATTTCATTTACTCAGGTTTATAGACTTTAGTGTCAATTTCGATGTGATTGATGACGTGCATCGGAAAGCGTTTTAAAATTTCTATAGACATGTTCCTGGGGTCGAAATATACCACCCCTGAAAATATATGCACTTATTTAAGACTCATCCTGTATAATGTCATTATTGAATTAAATTTCTAGCTTTACCGAGGGTAAGAAATGTACAGGTACTGCCAAAATATCCTTCCACTGCTAAGCGACTGCCAATGACTATAAAGAAGACTGCCTATGACTGCCATGTAATTATTATAGGCGACTGCCATAAGACTGCCAATGACTGCCAGCGACAGCCAAGAAAATGTGCATGTAATTCCAATAGTGAGACACCCCTCGAGCTTTACTATATGTCTATGACTGATTTTCTTTTTTTAGGGGAGATTTTTCTTTGCTTTAGGTCGATTGACTGATTTTCTTAACAGTGAAAATAACAACTGTTCTTTAGTTACTTAAAATCTCTGTTTTGAGTGAAAAATACACTACCTAATCGTTGGCATTTGCCTGGCTTTGTATTGTTACCTGTGCAGTTTTAATTTAAAAATATATGCAGTTTTTCTTAAATTACTTAAAATCGGCTTTCGAATTCAGTATACAATGAAATTAAGATCGCTGTCATTTTATAATATGTAAAATTATATGGGGAATGTCATCGATGTTCCATTTCTAAGCTAATTGAACGTCGTTTTTTTTTTGATCATACGGTATACTGTTTGACCAGCGGATCTGTAGCTACGGAAGGAATGCGAGAAAAAAAAATCGATATTGCCACGTTTATCTATAAAATTGCAAAATTGCCAGACATGAACTATAAATTTAATATATTTTTATTATATATAATGTGTTTACCATATATTCTGACGTATATTACTAAGGAATTTTAACGTAGTTCATATTGTTCGATATGTTTTATTTAATAACTTATTTCTTTCATTCTGTATAATCTGCTTATTATGAAAGTTGAAGATTTTCCAACGATATTTTTGGCAAACCGGCATCGCCGCGCATGGCCGCCTATTCATCGAACACGATTGGCGAGAGTACGTCACAGGATTTGTTACCACGCGGTTGCCATGGCTTTTACGCCTTTCCTATTCGCTTGCTTTATCCCCAACTTCACGGTCTCTTCTGAAAAGAGTAGGAATATTGAATACTATTGAAATATCCAGTGGCGGTGTCATTTTTTTGATCATTATTACTTTATTTCATTATTTTATACCGGTTATCCTAAACTTTATTCCTATATTTTTAGTATATTTGATAGTTAAGTTGTGTTTTATTGTTTTGTTATCTTGTTATAATGTTTTTCGTTCGTAGTTTTTAATTATTAATATCAAGTTTGATCGTATATTTGTGTTTTTAAACCAAAAACTCGTAATACAAAACTAAAGTGTCAAAACGAATGACAATTTCAGGAAATAAATAAATAGATGTGGCAACTTACAATTTTTTTAGCCCGGTGCCGAATATGTCCATGGTTGGCAAGAATAAAGTTAAAAATCCCACCCTCGTTTACATTACTAAAAGTTTAATTGATATTAAATATAATATATTGAATATATTAATTTCATTGAAAAAACTTAAACTTAATAATACATATTAATCACTCAGCATATTTTTGAATATTATACTCAAACATGCACTATTAGCATATTTTACAAAAAATAGTGTAAAAATTTCAAATAGATATAAAACCTGATATGAAGCTGTTATTTATTTGGAATACTGTCTAACTCACCCTGTAGATATGTATCTAATGACTCGATTCTTTTACACCGGTTTTTTCTAACACTAAATACTTTTCTAAAAATTCACTTAGGTTATTTCAACACAGACACTATAAAAATATACCAGAATATAACTTTCTAAAGAAACATTTTAAGGTACCATTAAGTAAAGATCTTTATTGCTCCACCTATAAGTATATTTTAATTAGTTACAATTACTTTTCGGTATTAAACCAAATAAATAATCCTCTATGAAAGATTCGTTACGATTTCAACTATAATTTACGTCTACTTTCTCTATTCCACGTTAAAAACGAACATATTTATTCTTACCGTGCGCTAGAATCCATGCAAAAGAAAGCAGTGCAATCCATAGTTTCCAATCCATCATCACTACCTTTACACAACTATTTTCTTCACTAAAAACTCACAAACTGACACTACACTATTATAGAAACTAATTTCAATGTATATCTGACCGTATCATTTTGTTTATTTAGTGATATTCTATTTAATTATTTTTATAATTAACACACAAGCAGTCGTCAGAGGTTATCTACCTGACTGCTTGTTGAAGTCTCCCAGAAATAACGGCACTGTAGGTTATTTTTTCGTTAGTTTGCACAACGATGCGTCAATTCCCGAAATGTCTCGCATATTTTCACTAATAATTCCTCAGATTGTCAAGTTTCAACGCTTAAAAACACGGGAAATATCATTTTTGACAGACGGACGTACCCACGATTGCCGACGTTGTAGCCATACTAAATCGAAACGCTCTCGAGTACCGACAGGTTTTAGAAAGTAAAAGAAACACATGACTGTGTAAACAGTAATGGCGTGTAACGGTGCAAGCTCAAAAGGCGGTTTATTTGAATTAATAGTTTGTTGTAAGCGGAATGATGATTATGAAGAATAAACATGTTCTAGTGGTGTGCACCTGTTACTGTATGCGTAAATTGTATATGGTGTACAGATGTCTAGCAGGAAACGTTATGATTTAGAAATAATGTCAAACTTGATATTATTTATTAAAGGTACACCGTAAGAAAAATACTAAGTTATAAGAAAACATTACTTAGTTTAATCAAGATATGTCAAAGAATTAAACAGTGTATTAAAATATACTCTGTTTTCCAACTCAGGTAAGATTTCAACAGACGATGGTAGAGAATACGCAGATGACGTCCATACCCATATATTTATTTATACCTAATTAAAAAAGTTTCTATTTTTTAAGTTAACTATGGAGGGTTTTATACAGGGTGTTTCAAAACAAATGCGAAAAACTTCAGGGGGTGATTCCTTGTTCAAAATAAAGGGTAGTTTGCTTTATAAATGTTGGGTCAAAAGTCAACCATTAGGGAGATCTCGCGGTAGAAAGATGGCGGAAAAATAATGTTTTTATTTTTTATCTTGAAAACGAAAAGAGATAGACTAATGAAATTTTACGGAAGCATTACTGTTATGAAAACACACTTTCTGGTAATTTTTTCACTTTTTTAAAATGAGTGGAAGGGGTTGAAATAAACTACCCCTATCATTCTTGTTAATGAAATTTAAAGAAAAATCTTATCAAACACATACAAAAAAAAATTAATTTTGATAGATTAGTTTATTTAGAAACTTTTTTATCTCTTGTGTTTTTTTGATATAACTCACCGATTTGAAATTAAAAAATAAAATGTAAAGCATTACATGTCAGGACAAAAAACATTTTTAGATAAAAAATCTAGTGGGCAGCTGTAATTTTTTTAGGAAAAAATCTAGTCGGCCGCTGTCACTTTTTAGGATGTTTCTAATAATGTTTTATTTGACATTACCCTACTGCAATACGTTATTATCTAGATTATTATTATTATCATTATTATCACTAGATTCTTAATCTAAAAATATTTTTAGTCCTGACATGTAATGCTTTACAGTTTATTTTTTAATTTCAAATCGGTGAGTTTTATAAAATAAATACAAGAGATAAAAAAGTTTCTAAACAAACTAATCTATGCAAATTAATTTTTTTGCATGTGTTTGATAAGATTTTTCTTTAAATTTCGTTAACAAGAATGATAGGGGTAGTTTATTTCAACCCCTTCCAATCATTTTAAAAAAGTGAAAAAATTACCAGAAAGTGTGTTTTCATAACAGTAATGCTTCCATAAAATTTCATTAGTCTATCTCTTTTCGTTTTCAAGATAAAAAATAAGAACATTATTTTTCCGCCATCTTTGTACCGCGATATCTCCCTAATGGTTGACTTTTGACCCAACGTTTATGAAGCAAACTACCCTTTATTTTGAACAAGGAATCACCCCCTAAAGTTTTTCGCATTTGTTTTGAAACACCCTGTATACCTTTATCTGATATCAAGTAAACTTTTAGTTACGTAATCGAGGCCGCGATTTTTAAATTTATTGCTGCCAACCATTGAAAGTGGTAACTCTGCTGTAATAAAATGTCAAGTTGCCACATTTATTTATTTATTTCCTGACATTGTAATTCGTTTTGACACTTTAGTTTTGTATAACGAGTTTTTGGTTTAAACTCAGGTTTAAATGAATTGTGTTGTGATATTTTAAGCCTAAATCTTTTTACTAGCAGACCTTGCAATCGAACATTGTTCTTTTTAGAACCTCTTTTAATGCGAAGTGTACAAGATAGCTTAATAGCCGTAAAAAACTTATCGCAACTTTATTAGAATGTTTTGAACAGGAAAGCGGGAGTAATGGCCCTTTATGTCCCTTAAGTGCTTTATGTGCTTTATAGGGGTGAGTCACTTTTGAGACGCATCAGGTAGATAAAATTGACTTAAATATAAACACTCATTATTTGCCCTATAAATTAAATTGTATTTACACAAAATAAGCACATTAAAACAATAAAAATAAATTAGATAAAATGTCATTATTAATACAATAATTATTAATTCTTTAAATTCCATTTTTGTTTACTTAGACTTACTCTGATCAGATTACTAGAAGGAGGGAAGACCAAAACACTGTAGTAATTAGACCCTATTGAACCTCTTGTACAGAGTGTCTCAATTTTGAGCCTCACCGCTGTGATCTCGGAAAGTAAAAGGGATTACGATTAAACGCGAGTTAGGTTAAAATGGAATGGCGCAATTTTATACTCATCAAAATACTACATAAAAGTTTTAAAATTCCTAATACTTCGGAAGATATTTGGGGAAAACAAATATTTACGATTATTTTTTTTTGTAATTTTATTTGAATAAAAATATCAAAATAAATTTCACAGCAACTTTTTTTTGTACTACATGTTTGTGTTATCAGATTTACAGCCCTCCGACTCGTCTTTGAGCTGCCATTATCAACTCTCTTTTTTTAAATATGGTCTAGTGTCCGTCATCCCAATGATAACGTTTGAATTTAGAACACCCTGTACATTTTCCTTTGAGAGTTACAACAAAAAAAAAGTAAAGTATGTCCAACGAGTCAGGAAAGATTTCGAAAGACGACATTCAAAACAAAACAGTAAATACGATCTTTGAAGTAACAGAGTTTTCAGATGGAGCGGAGCGTCCGCGACGGACCGTCCGCGACTTCGAGCAAGTACCATGAGCTTATATGAACGATTATTTCACATTGGTCGCGTATGCTCCGTCCGGATGAGTTAAGGATGATTCACGGTACACCGGACCGTACCCGAGCCGAGCACGTTCCGTAAAGAAGACACCGAGCCACGTCCGGGCCTTCAATATATGCAACACCGAGTGGACAACGGGGATCATGTCCGGGCCGATTATATTCTAGAAAACAGTGTTGCCGCAGTGGTACATGTGTACCAAATTTGATACTTTTAATTCTATTTGGTACAGTGGTACTACATATTCAAATCCAGGATAATTCGGTACAATAATTATTTCCCACGCGCACCGAAAATGAATAGATATTTAATAATTATCGTCGTTGATATTGCATTAAACGCTCTTACCGATACCATTCGGACACAATCCGCATTAATTAACGACGTATTATAAACGTTGTAATGTCTATAGGGTTGCCTATATTAAATAACCCGAAGAAAAAACTTAAAAATTTGCTGTTTTGTAACATGCTTCTATATTTGCGTTTTTTTTAATAAAGTTTAAGTTTTCCAAGTATCGTGTGTAGTATTAGAATTACTTACATTTCTTCAACCTATACATACTTATAATTGGGTTTTCTGAATTTCTATTTCATGTTTTTCGTCTCGATTTGTGTCTTTCTCCAGGAAGTTTTTTATGTAGAAATTTATGAATAAATTCACAACGACCAAACCGGTTAAAGTCATTTGCAGATGTATTTTGTTGTGCTTTAAAAAATTGTACCAAAGTGGTACATTTTTAGTTTATAATGTGGTACGCGCTATTTCATGTTTTTCGTCTCGATTTCTGTCTTTCTCCAGGAAGTTTTTTATGTAGAAATTTATGAAGAAATTCACAACGACCAAACCGGTTAAAGTCATTTGCAGATGTATTTTGTTGTGCTTTAAAAAATTGTACCAAAGTGGTACATTTTTAGTTTATAATGTGGTACGCGCTAAAAGTTGGGTGCGGCAACACTGCATCACCGCATAGTGATAGTGGGTCTTAAGGAACAAAACAAAGAATTTAAAAATAAGATTAATTTATAAACTACTGAACATTATTTCTTTCATTCCTGCAAATCGTTTTATGCAAAATAAGTTGCCTATCCATTTTGTTTCACTTTAAATGGCGACATCTATCCTCTAACAATAGCACATGTGCTATTGTTAACGTATTGCAGGAAACTGAAACTAGAATTAACCATACTTCTTCTTTTGTATAACAGATTACACACATATATCCATGGTGTTTTTATATTATATCATTATGATTCAAAAATTTTAATACAACAAAAAATTAAAATGTGCATAGATTTACCGAACTATTAGAAAATATACTCTCTATATTAGAAAGTATATTAATGTTGTCCTTGTTCATATACTTAACGTCAAAATCTACAAAATTTAACAAATCTATATTTACCTGCGTATTCACATTTTTTTTAAATGCCTGTGCATTGTTCCTGTTTCTCTATACCTGAATTTCATATTTAACTATATCAATTTTACTATTATAAATCAGGAGGAATAGAAAATTTAACTTTTATATAGGTATTATCAAATAACAAGATATTAAATTAGTATTAAATTTAAATATTATTTATTTCACATCATAAATTTAAAATTAGGTGTGTATTATATTTAAAAGATAAAATTATTCGGGAATAAAATATCATGTGCCTAAAACAGATTTAAAAATAAATATAATACAATAATATTATTGAACATTTGCGTCCATTATTTTGAATTCCTGCTTGTATTTCCTGCAATTGTGTATAATAAGTTGCCTAACCATGTACTCCAAAGACAGCAACATCCATCCATTTCAATATAGACGATCAATGAAGTTGTATTGTAGGAATCTAGAATGACATTAAAGGTGCTTTTTGCACACTATAAAAGATGGCTGTCAAAGAGAAATCCTCGAGAATTATTAGTAAATTATCGTTTGAATTCTGCAGAAAAATTAAATTCTTATCGTTAGGTATTATCATCGAATATTTTTACAAAAAATCAGGTAAGAGTTAAATAGTTAATAATTTGTTGTATAAATATTTTTTATACAAGATGATAAAATGGTATTTTATCGCCGACTGAAAAGATTAATTCACGAGCGATGAAATCGCGAGTGAATTAATTTCGGGTGACGATAATGCAATTTAATCGTCG